CCGACTTGTCAACAGAGTGAATTAGGAGATAAAGTAATGTTTGATAATATTGTGTGACTGAAGCCTTTGCATCTGGGAAGGGTTTTCTGTTGTTGAGAGGACCTCTAATGATGCTGTTATCTGGAGCTGAAAGCCTGATTAGTTTGATGGATGGAGCAGACATTGCCAGCCTATCTCTTGACAGTCTCACTGTTTTTGTATGAGAGAGAGGAGAGTTGATGAGTTTGTGCGAAAGATTGATACACAGACTGACAGAAACCAGCTCTCTCGCACACACACACACACACACACACTGTAACACACACACAATATGATTAGAGGAAATAGGACCCCTCATCCTCCTCTTCCTCTTCTGCCATCAGTTGAACATGCACACCAAAGCCAAACCACTGCAAACGAGCCACAGAGCAAAGAGTGAGCAGACACCTCCCTGCCTGCCTGTCATCCCACTAATATGTAAGAGGTGGAGGAACACATGCTTAATCTTCTTATCAGCTCATTCAGCTCTGTCTTTAAAAGATTTAGCTTCATGTCTCCTCCTTAGTGAGAGGAATGCTCTGGTTTGAAACTAGATAGAAGGAAGAATGTGGCAAGAATTAAAATCTCCCTCAGTGGAAGCTAAATGTGTGTAGTGTTATACCCTTGCAGCAAGTGTTTGCTATTCACCAAATATTCACCATATATAGAGGAAGTGTAATTCTTTTTTTTGTGTGGATGTTGTTACTTTCTCTTTTAGACTGTCCTCACCAGAAAAAAAAAGGCATTGGTCAGTTAACACTTAAAATGAGCCATGTTTTCTGACAGGTGACCTTTTGTGGCTGTGTGAATAATGGCTGTAGTCTGTCAGGAGTAGATGTCGATATACAATGAGGTAATTATAGCCCCCACAAAGCCTGTCAGGGAGGAGGTTGGAGTAGATGGTGGAAAATAACACCAAAGTGTGTGAATTTGACACCGGAGACAGCTGCTTGCAACCTGTCTCCAATGGACTGTCAGTGCTTGTTTTGTAACCATGACAATGATCTATCTTTAAGCTTAAAAACACTCTGTGAAGTTTTGTTTTACGTTACATGATTGCATTTAATGTCTCTCAGCAAGTGGATCGTGTGTTTGAGTTGTTTACATCAGTGTTCGCAAGCAAGCAATCTTCCTTTTCCCTGCATTTCCTGGGATGTTGATTGGATTTATTACAACAAATGTCAATTGCTTTAAAGCACTTTGAATCAACTGTATTGTGTGTAAAGTGCCATGT